AAAAAAAATTAGCCGGGCATGGTGGCACATGCCTGTAGTCCCAGCTTCTCAGGAGGCTGAGGCAGGAGGATCACTTGAGCCCAAGAGTTTGAGGTTGCTGTGAGCTAGGCTGACGCCATGGCACTCTAGCCCGGGCAACAGAGTGAGACTCCGTCTCAAAAAAAAAAATTAAAAAAAAACAAAAAAAAAGAAATGGCAGTACCTTCCTAACAGGCAGTCTTTAAATGTAGGCTGTGTCAGAGACCTAAATCACTTTAGAGTACTTGTCAACATAGCTAGAGCATCCTAACCACAATGCATATCTTTTCAGGTTTTGGAAAGGAACTCTTTGAGTCTGATCTAGACCGAATCATGGAATACATCGAAAATGCCATGGAAATAGTTCCGGTCTTAAAAAAAGCTGACATCATCAATATAGTCAATGGCCCTATCACCTATTCTCCTGACATTCTGCCTATGGTGGGGCCTCATCAGGGGGTCAGAAACTACTGGGTGGCTGTAGGCTTTGGGTGAGTATCTCCATGTAATTCAACATTTATTGTAGAACCACTTATTTTCAATAAGTCTGGTTCCATAATTTCAGACCATAAAAGGAAAATGTGGGAGTAGGGGGGAAAGAGAAAGAGAGACAGACAGAGAGAGAGAGATTTCTCCCTTTCATGACCAAGGAATAATACAAGGAATAAAAAATTTCAGTTTTAAAACACTGATTATATAATGGTTCACTCACTTGTGTAGGTTTTTAATATTAGCACACAGAAGGGCAATGATTTCCTGGAACTTTCTCTTTGCATATTTCCTGCCATTTGCATTATTTGTGTCTCTTTTCATGCTGCGTATCTTCAGATAGGTCAATTTGCCCCAATTTCATGAGGATGTTTTCATAATACAATGTGACAAAGATAATTCAAAACATCAACTGTATAATATATAATAGCTGATGCATTTTTCACCATAATTCATGTTTCTTCCACATGATTTGTTTCTTTGTAATTCCTCAGGTTGCTTCCTATTTATAATTGCGTTGCCTCTCTGATGTTTCATTTCTAATATTTGTTCCATTAATTTGGTGAATATTGATGTCAAGCCCACTTAACTATCATATCACAGCTTCTGATATCCTATTTTTCTTCCATACTTTATTTGGCAATTTATTCAGCTAATAGTTAATGATTTCCTGCTCTGTGCCAGGCATAGGGCTAGGCGCTGGGCTGCAGCTGGGGCCAAGGCAGTGAGGTCTGACTGGAGGTGGAAGGCTGGCTCGGGTGCTGTTCTGCCAATGCGGTAGAGAGCCTGAGTCTGAACTAAGGTAGCAGCAGTGAGGACTGAGAGCTAGGAGATAAAATTATTTGGATTTGACGATTGATTTCATAAGGTCTTGAGGGAAAGGAAAAAATACCAAGTAATGGCAACCTTTCTAACTTGAGCACTGGCTGGATACTGGAGCCATGGGGAGAGAAGACCAGGAAAATAATGAGTTCCATTTTTGATGGATTGGGTTTAAAGTGTTAAGTGTAGGTCTATGGGACACCCAGAGAGAGAAAGCCAGAAGGAGATACAGGATGGGAAGGTATAATGTAATTGAGGGCTTCCATAATCACCTGTAGAGTCCATCTGTAGGCATGGGCAGGTAGAAGTGCTTCTCTTGCACATCACTTGTATATCTTCTTTGGAGAAATGTCTATTCATGTCTATTCAGAAGTGTCCTTTTCCCATTTTTATAATTAAATTGTTTTTTTATTGTTAAGTTATAGGAGTTTTTTATATATTCTAGATACAAGACCTTTATCAGGTTCATGATTTGCAAACATTTTCTCCCATTCTGTGGGTTATCTTTTCACTTTCTTGATGGTGTCCATTGAAGCATACAAGTTTTTAATTTTGATGAGGTCCAGAATATTTATTTTTTCTTTGGTCACATGGACTTTTGTGTCATATATAAGAAACCATTGTCTAACCCAAGTTCATGAAGATTTAAACCTTTGTTTTCTTCTGAAAGTTTTATAGTTTAAGCTTTTACATTTAGGTCTTGAATCAATTTTGAGTTAATTTTCATATATGATGTGAGGTAGGTATCCAGCTTCATTCTTTTGC